TGTATATAATACCTATATACATATATATATATATAAAACTGCTTACTATGTATAAATTCTAAAATAATCAAATTGATGCACACAAATATGACAATAAAACCAACGGATTCAGTGCTTTATGTTCGTTTATTTATAAAAAATTGTGGCAGAACTTACTTATTCCGGTGGTCATGTAATTATGCAACTTCAAGCATATTCAAAATTTCAATTCCAAATGGTCGCACGATTCTCGGGATTAAACGAAACTTTGTGAAAAGGGGACGACACGTTTAAAGTTAAAAGTTATCATCGGATAGAAACGTGTACGTCACCTCTTGACATTACATTGAATAAAACAGCAGGCACAGATGTTGAAACAACGTTTTCGATTAAACGATAAACATTAAGTAAAACCAAATTCCGTTGAATTTTGCCGAATATAACTGAACAAACAAACAAACGAAAAACAGGAAGAACCGCAGTGGAAGACAAATAGCCAGACATTTATGAAACATATAGACTTTGCCGTGATGCGATCTCGCGTAGATTGAAAATTTTAAAATAAATGAATTTATAGAAATCGTAACGTTTACCGGAGCATAGCATAAATATTTGCACGAGCTAACCATTTGTCATTTTGTATGTAGAAAGGAAAAATAAAATTTCATTTTAAAATAAACGAAATTATAGATGAAACGAATTTTTCTAAAAGATATTTTTCAAAAATTATCAGACAAAATTTTCGATAACTCACTTTTATACTTTATATTCCTCAAAGACGTGGTAGTTTGAATAGTATTATAAAGTAATCGATCTCACGCGAAGACGTTGAATATGTACGCGAGCAAATATTAATGCAGTACGGAATTGTCGGGAAAATTATTAGACCCGTTGACGATCGTTCGGATCGTAAGAATCGTAAATTGCTTTGATTTTGCTTGGCCCATAAATCGAATAAATTATTTGAAAAGTATTTTGCATTTAAACGAACACGGCTGAACGCTAACGAAGCAATGTGAAATTTTTACAATTTTTTATTTGTAATTTAGCATAAAATCATATAAAAATGTATTATCTTGTTTGGCATCGAGTAATCGATAACAAAATGAAAGTTCATGCCCTTCTTAATTATTTTTTTGGGATTATAAAGTCGTTTAAAGTAATGAATTAAATGACAATGAATATATGTATATGAGATTAATCGAAAGAAAACGAAGCACAAATATAAACAAAAATAAATATCAAACAAAAATAATCAAAGTGATAGAGATTAAGATTTATAAACATTAGATTCATTACAATATATCAAAATCCTTGGATCTACGAACTTTAGCGAATATGGTATTGCGCATTGTTAAGTTTACCACATCAACTATAATTGTATAATAATAAAATATATATTCTATACATGGAATGGTTTTACTACATAGCTTATGTGGTGATCAATTAGACTTTGGGAGAAAGTATACTTGCATCACTTCCATAACAAATGATTTCGTAATTTCATTTAACAACGAAACCTATATTAACCAAAGCATATGGATACTTTAATATCTGAACTGAATTGTGAATTGTTTTGTGAACTTCACAATTCATATTCATAATTCATAATCAAAATCAAAAATCACAAATCACAAATCACAGAACACGGAACATTGAACACAGAACACAAAACACAGAATACAGAATACAAAAACATGAAACACAGAACACAGAAAACAGTGCACGGAACACAAAGAATAGCTTAAACTTATATAGCTTATCGAGATTAAGGTATGCCAAGGATTTCTCAATTGCTCGAATAGTTATGTTATCTCTCAACGTTTCTCTGAATAACGAATTGTTTTATGAGGAATGGTATTCACAAAAGAGGGTAACAGCCAACGCGTAGAAGGAACTAGGAGGAATAATTGAAGTTAAAACGAGCAACTTCGCCATGACCTCCTCAGAACTCCCAATTAGTTATAATTTTTAACTTTAATATAGCATATAAGTATAGACACACATATACACATATACACGCATCTATTCACGAAATCAGCACGATCCATGATGGCCTTAAACTTTTTTCTTTTTTTTCTTTTTTTTTCTTTTTTTAACTTACACGCAAGTCGTCACGCAATATATTTTTTATAATTCTTCTTGGAGAAAAAATATAAAAATGTCGTAAAACTATATGCATATATTTGTTATAATATTCAGACAAAGATTAAAACCATTGCATTTAATAATGCAAAGCCAAAACTTTAGTGCAACGTTAATGCACGCACAAACTCTTATTTCAATTTTGCAGTTACGCGGATATCAAAATCTAACGTTCCCCTTAAGGGATGCGCCAACTTTTGGACTTTCTAGGACTGCAATGTACCTAGTTGCCAACACGTTAACCGACTTTCACGTATATTTTCATGAGTTAAATTCATTTTACTCCGAGAGTTATGCTATGTTGAATACAAAATTAACATACATAGGTCTAATTGAGATCTGTGAGTGAGAGTTATAAAATGGAATAAAGTACGGTCAAATTTGATCAAAAGAAAAGTATGGCATGCAATGATTTTACTAGAAAATAATTTTAAAATTCGCTATGTAAAATTTGCGAGACCAATTTTCTTCGTTTAATCTAAAATGTTGTAATCTAATTATTAAAATACGCCAATGTAACGTATGATTCGAAATAATAATATTTCAATTTAAAATTGGATAATAATTTCTTTCACAAAAAAGAAAAAAAAAAAGAAAAAAATAAAAGAAAAAAGAAAAAAGAAAAGAGAAAAGGAAATAGATTTCGTCGAATTCTTAAAGAAGTTGGTTGAATAAAAGAGGAATATTTAAAAATTCGAGGATTAAGACGAGTTAACCGGAAAGCCTTTGAACTCTCTACGATGGAGTATTCAAAGTTCAATCTATTCTAATAGGCTGCACTTTGGGTTAAACCGCTTCGAGGCAATACCCAAGCTTGCCTACGTCTGCTACGTGCCTTGTTCGAGATGGTGCAATTTACTCACATACGTTTAGAGAACATCGATGTTAGGCGAGAAAGTTTAACCAAAACGTGAATAGTTGTTGAAGTCCAATGTAAGAAACAATTTGATAGCTCGAATGTACGCATATAACTAAGTACGTATAAATATATTATATATATGTATATATACATATATATATACATATATATATATACGAATAAAATAAACGAGATTTTCGACCGATAAGTTTTTCTTCTTTCTCATGTCGACGAGACGAGCATTTAACTAGTACGATCCACCTCGGAGGTAAATTATCACGCACGTACGAAACAGTCCGTGTGATTAACGAGATTACGCTTAGTGACCATGGCGAGTTGCTAGCCGAGCGAGTTCTTCCTGACGTTTTCATGACGATGAACACGACCATGAGGATGACGAATGAAAAGAAAAGAAAAAAATAACAAGAAGAGAAAGGATACGAAAATGAAGAGAAAAAAAAAAAGAAGGAAAACAGAAAAATGGGAAAATAAAGAGAGAGAAAAAAGAAGAAGTTGACATTTCGTAACTGTGTTATGTTATGTTCCTCTTAACCAACCCCTTGTTTCAGTAATTTCTATAAATGGTATCACCGGATTTCAAATATATTTCTCGTGGTTTTCACTTCGGTGAGATAATGAATCTGAAGAATGCACCGTAAGTCAAAAAAGTTTGCGGTAGTCGCCATCCTTCCCCCATTGCGTGTTCTCTTACTAGTACAACGATACAATTTACAAACTTATAATACTTTTTTATATGCCCATAGCTTTGAAACTATTGTCCCGAAAGGAACTTCCTTTAGTATCGTTTTCTCCATCTTAGAGATTAATATCGAAAGTACGATCGGTTCGTAAGCGAGCGTTTTACTTTTTTAAGTTAAACATCTTTTTTTCTTTTTTTTTTTTTTTTTTTCTTTCTTTTAATCCTTCACATTCTCCATCTAGACTTCTTGTTTGTTCTTCATCAAAATTACGATGGATATCGAATTGTGGATATAACTTAAGATTCGATCTTAAAATTAAATGAAAAGAAAAGAAAAAGAAAGAGAGAAAAGTTAAAATGTCTTATTTATTTTTATCCAACGGTCCTGATTACGCAAACTTCATTAAAAATGCATTTTAATTAAATAAACGTACAATCAAGTTTCACGCACGTCCTATGTACTATCTACATTATCTATATATTGAAGTCTCGTGCATAATTACGTAGATAATAAAATTAGGACATAACCAAGAACGTAAAAGCGTGTAAAATGGGAAACATGTTGTTCGAAGTCAAAACTTAAAGAATAAATATATGTTTTTTTCACGTGAAAGCTGACTTTACATGAAACGCATACACGCTGAAGACCATTCATTCGAGATTTTCGTCACTTCTTAAAAATGTTAAACAGCTTTTCTATTTTTCTTTTTTTTCTCTTTTCTTTTGTTTTCTTTTTTTTTTCTTCTTCTTTCTCTTTCTCTCTCCAAACTTTCCTTTCTTTTATTTTTCGTCATTCTCTTTTTCGTTGAATAACATTTATTGCGGATATATTACACCGATAACCGGAGGCACCACCTTTCAACGCTCTTTAATCTTTAAAGTAATATGCATTTTTATGATATAAATATGAAATTTACGCGCGTCTGCCTTGCAAACGATATTACCGTGGTCGTTAATATCACACAGGCACATTATTCCTATGAAATTTTCTGGCTTAACCGTAGAAGAGAAAGCGTGATGGCAGATAAGATCGACCCTTTTACGAAAGTTGATACATAAATCTACGCTAACTTCGAAATGATATATCGTTCGTTCTTCCTCTAATCGGCGTGAAATAGATCGTCGCTTCTAACAAAGCTGAATTTCCGAGACAAACAAGGCGAAAGTTATTAAAACTTGAGTAGCGAAGTTAATGAGGTCACGAACGTAGAAAGATGAGGTGTGCCTACCGATCGTAAGACGATCGAGGGTTCGAAAGATAATATAGCTCTATCTCTACTTCAGTGATTAACGAGTTTGTATATTTATGTGTTTCAGGTCTCGAGGAGTACAGGGATACTGTCACACTTCGTCAATCTAAACATAGTGATACCAGAGGCATTTATATTAGGAAGCGACGAGCATCACGTCGACGTAGGGTCCATCATAAATCTCGTATGCATAATAGAAAAG